GTGGGTGTGGGTGTGGGTGTGGGTGTTGGTGTGGGTGTTGGTGTGGGTGTGAGTGTAGTTCTTTGCTTCATCCGCATCCACACCCACACCACACACCCACGCCCACACCCACCCACACCCCACACCCACACCCTCTTAAAGAAAAAGCCCCTAGACGCCAAGCAGTTATGAATAAACTTCTCTAGATTTTTGACTGTTTTGATGTAGAGTAATGCAGTCTTATCCACTCCATCATTGCGACAATACAATTGAAATACGACTTCCTTTTAGTAGTTTAGAGTTGCAGTACCCTCATGAGAAGGCTAGCATGTCGTGTGACGCTTTCTTTTGAGATGGGATGTCATTTCTGACTTTGAGCACTCTTGAAAACTGCTTATTTATGTTCGAAACACTTGAAAAATATGACTATAGAATATTTCTGAAGGCCACTTTGAATTTCGAATTTTCGGATTTTTTGGGATTTTTAGGATTTCTTGGGTTTTCTTGGGATTTCTGGGGATTTCTTAGGATTTAAAATCCAAAAAAATCCGGTTTTTCCCCCCTTGTGTGGGCGTCGGTGTGGAAGTGCCTGTGGATGTGGGTATAGTTACAAGGAAAAGCGACACCCACGCCCACACCGAAAACTTAAAAAGGTTTCTAGAAATGTACGCAAATCCGGTACCCTAGAAGACTCGGGATGACATCTTTTTTAGAAAGTACTCACACCAACACCCACACCGACACCCTGGTTTTTATTTTTCCCGTATTTCGTTATAATAACGATATTTGTGATTTACTGATAAGGATAACTTCAGTCCCTTTTATTTCAAGTGTTATCTTAATAAAAAGAAAAAACCTAAAAACCCAATTCCGCCAGTTAATAGTGTGTATGTAAAATCTTTTTTCCTTTCTCTCTTTCGTAAGTACATCAGATAAATGCACAGCAACAACAAAACGAGATATTTTTAATACGCCTTCGCCAGAAGCGTCATCATACTTAAAGTTTTACAACAGTAGCTTGCAACAAACTTATATTGATTCAAGTCAGCGTCGTCAAAAGGAGATAAAGCCAATACGCGAAGTTTTGCTATGTAGTTGTGTAAGTATTAAGTGGTAAAACAAATTTTTTGTGAAAATTTTGTTTCAAACAATCGAGCATCGAATAAAGCTAAAAAATTTCTCTCATTATCGCAGTTTAGATTAATGATGTTGCCCATTGTTTATCAAAAAAAGCGCGCTTTAATCATTGGTATCAATGATTACCCACATGATTCGTTGAATTATTGTATCAATGATGCTAATGATCTAGGAACAGCTCTCAAACGTATCGATTTTGTTGTATCAGTCGCACTGAATTGCAATTTTGTTACACTTTACCATATGATAGACACATTTGCTGCTACAATTCAACACGATGATTTAGTTTTATTTTATTTTGCTGGTCATGGTAAACAAAGCAGAGATAGCAATTATTTGTTACCATCAGATTACGATTTTGATTATCGAGGGTGTGAACATAATTATATCATAAATAATGCAATTAACGTCAAATATTTAATGAAGAAAATAGATGGTAAAAAATGTCGTGTCACAATCTATTTGTTTGATTGCTGCAGAAAGAGGATACGAATTCGAGCAACCAATGCAAAGCAAGGTCTATCACCGATGAATGGATCACCACAAACTCTCATCGTATATGCTTGTGCTCCTGACAGTGCAGTACAAGATGAAACACGAAATAATAGAAATGGCAGTTTTATTGAAAACTTATTAAAACATATCACAAGACCCGATAAACATATTGAAAAGATAATGAAAGATGTTGCTGATGCTGTTCATTTACAAACAGGTGGTTTTCAATTACCACATCGGTTAAGTTCCATCTCTGGAAAAGTCTTTTTAGTGCTAAATAACAATCAGGGTAAAGCATATTTAATTTTCCAACTCGACTAATTCTTTCATTTCAAGATAGAGGAAAAGGCGCGTAAATTTAATCAATTTGTGTGAAGAGAGTAATCATAATAAACTACCCTAGGCGAACTTTTTTTTTCATGCTCTTGACCTGCGCAGACCTCAAGTTTTGTCCATAGCGCATGACTTTCTTGCTCAAGACAAGCGCTTGAGTGTTTGTATGAGTTACAAGAACCTCACGTGCTCAACCCAAGAAAATCCAACTATGAATTTTTATTAAAAGTTGAGTTATTTTGCACGTAAAATTGAAAAAAAATTGAAAAAGTTCCTTAGTAACAGAAACGCTTGGGAGAGAATTCAAGCGCATGAGCAAGAATATCAAGCGATAGAACAAGAAGTTCAAGAACTTGAGCTTACCAAAAGGTCTCAAGTCTTGCCTCAAGGTTTTTCCATAGCGCATGACTTTCTTGATCAAGATTCTCAAGTATCTCCTGCACAGACCAAAAGAAGTTCGTCTATGATAACATTTTATTTATCTAGAGCGTTACCAAAAAGAAAATTTTTGAAAGCAGAGACTAAGTTCTGCGTCTTGTTCTATTTATTTTACATCGTTTGTTTGAGCAGAACCTGTCCATGATTTTCCGGATGTCTTTATTTACACTATTTTCGAAGGAGGGGTTCGTTAAGCGAGGAAATCGGTCCCTCATGAAAGCTCTCCATTCCTATTCCAAATCGTCACTTTATACATCGTAAACTCAAAAACTTTCGAATCCAGTCTATTGGGTCCAGTCAGCCGAAACACAGGGTTAGAATTCCCTCCCCGTTCACTATACAGATTTTTAGCTATTTTCGCTCTTTTCCACCATCTGTGACAAATGTAGACATTTGCGTTGATTTTCGAGTCAAGCTAAAACGATACAACTTTTTGAGCTCTATAATTCTAGCTTAGGAATGGCTACTGAAAAAAGTGGGTATGAGGGTCATATTGAGCAAAAACTGGCTGAAAACTCTGATTTTCCAGCACTTTAGCTTGTTTCTGGCATCTATAACACATGTACACATTTGGACCCACTTTCGAGTCAAGTTAAAACGGTACAAGTTTCTGAGCTTGGCAATTGCGACATAGGAATGTTTAGAGAAAATTTTGCGCGTGGTTTGCAGCTTCACGTGGGTACTTAGGCTTGGACTAGGCATGCACCAAATCCAAACCCAAACCGTTTGGGTATTTGGGTTTGGGTATTGAGTTTGGGTTTGGGTATGAATATTCAGTGTGAGTTTCTGTTTCACTTTTGCTACATCAACTCACTCAATTATGGGTCTTAAAATGTAATGCAATTTATGTCAAGTCTCTTCTCTATATTTAGCTATTTATTACGTATAGATATGAGCAAAAGCATATTTTTATGCTTTACATTGTAAAACAGTGAAATAAAGCCATTCTCAATCCGAAGAAGACAGCTTGAAAAGTGAATATTTTTGACTGATTTACCCACGATCGGATTGATGGAATATCGATATCACAAGTATCAATTGGAGAAATGGTTGTTGGATGTTCTGTCATAGTCAAACATTGGCTTTTAAGAGAAAGGAGAGAGATAGGGAACCTGAATTCGAACTTTACTTGTTGAGACTGAAGCATTGCTCACAATGAATGAGGGTCCCAGCCTTTTCGCAATATTTTTCTGGTTTTCATAGTTCTAGACTGAATATTTTCTGAGCAATGCAGCATTTGATCATCCACGAAACCGCATTCATGTGGATGTCACGGGAATAGAGGCAAAAAGTGCTATTGTAATAATGATAGAAACACTGGGTAATTATGCTGTTGGTCGAAAAATTTTTGTCGAAACGCAGTTGGTCGAAAAATTATCGTCGATAAATTTTTTGTCGACACGACACTTCGTCGACACAACATTTCGTAGACACGACACTTCGCAGACAAAGCACTTCATCGATAAACTCAAATAGATATCTGCTTTTCGTCGAAAGTATTTTCTTGGCTATGGAGAGCACTCCAAATGTAAAGGTGAGGTGAGTGTGATAGTGAGGATAAGTGCCATGCAGGGGTACTCTAAATGTGATGGTGAGGATGAGCATGACGGTGAGGGTGAGCATGATGGTGAGAGTGAGCATGACTGTGAGGGTAAGAGCGATGCAAGGCACTTCAAGTGTGAGGGCGAAGACAATGGTGAGAGGAAGGGCACTACAAACGTGAGTGCGAGAGAAAATTCATTGTCCTCTTGACTCTGAATAATTCTGTAGAAGAATTGAACGATCAGAAATTGTCTCGAGGGACTGCGAACCTTTCCTTGAAGTACTTTTCGACGAAAAGCATGTAATTCTATTCAATGATGCCCTGATATTCTTCCATCATCACCAAAGGAACAAAGTTAATTAGGAGATATTTTTGAACGTGTCTCCTGACGGTGAGATAAATAAGAAGAAGAAAATACTTCACTTTCGACGAAATGCTTTTCTACAAAAAAAAAATTTTGACAAAAAGTCTTGTCGACGAAATACTTTTCTGCAAAAACATTTCGACAAAATGTCCTGTCGACGAAATGTTTTTCGATGAAATGCCTTTCCACAAAAAAATTTCGCTAAAAATTTTTCGACAAAGTTACTTCGACGAAAAGTCTGTCGACTAAAGTGTCG